AAGGAAGGAAAGGAAGGAAAGGAAGGAAGGAAGGAAGGAAGGAAGGAAGGAAGGAAAGAGGGAGGGAGGAAGGAAAGAGAAAGGAAGGAAAGAAAGAAAGAAAGGGAAGGAAGGAAAGAAAGAAAGAGGGAGGGAGGGAGGAAGGAAAGAAGGAAGGAAGGAAAGAGGAAGGAAGGAAGGAAGGAAGGAAGGAAGGGGAAGGGAGGAAGGAAGGAGGGGAGAAAGAAAGAGGGAGGAAAGAAGGAAGGAAGGGGAAGGAAGGAAGGAAGGAAAGGGAGGAAGGAAAGAAGGAAGGAAGGAAAGAGGAAGGGTGTTGGGAGGGGGGGGGCTCCCAAAATAGGGGGTGGGGGGGGGAGGGGTCTGGACCTTCGAAAGGAGGCAAGGGACTCGCTTTGGACTATGCCCACTCGAAGGAAAGGTCTAGGGATTTCAAGATCTTCTAGAAACAAAAGGAATTCCAGCGTTAACTAGATAAATGCAGGTAGTCCTCGACTTAGTTCATGTAGTGACTGTTGGAAGTTGCCACAATGGCAATGGAAAAAAGGGACTTATGGTCGTTTTTCGCACTTATGACCATGATCCCCATGGTCACGTGGTTCCTGACAAGCAATGTTCAATGGGGAATCCAGATTCACTTAACAACCTGGTTATTAACTTATCAATTGTGGCGAAAGAAAGGTCGTAAAATGGGGGCAAAACTCACTTAACAAATGTCTCACTCAGCAAAATAAATTTTGGGGTCAATTGCGGTTGTAACTTGAAGACTACCTGTATATACAATCCTGCAACTGAAAGATGTAGACAAGTCTATTTAGGGTGGGTATGTGCAGCCTTGGCGACTTTTAAGACTTGGGGACTTCAACTCCCAGACGTCCAGAATTCCCCGAATTCTGGGACTTGAAGTCCCCAAGTCTTAAAAGTTAACAAGCTTGGACAACCCAGATTAAGATATTTGTTATATTTACTTGATTTGTGCCTTGGTTTCTAAGCAGCCAACAGAATTAAAGCAAATAGTGAAGAATATGAATTTTTAAAAAGAACATTAAAATCGAGGTTAATCAGACATTATCTGGAGGAAGGCAAGAAGATATTAGGAATTTTGAAAACTTAGATTCACTCGATAAGAACTATGTAAATTTATAGTTGAGTCTAATAATGATACAATAATAATACAATATAATATAACATAATATGTATAGTTGACTTATGTAATATGAATGTATGTTTAGAAGGGGAAGACTGTTGATATTGTGACATTGCACGAAAAAAATGTACCAACCGACACGTTGTATTTTGGAACATGGTTTTATGTTGATGTTTTATGTTTGTGTTTGTTAGTGTTTGTCTTTAAAAAATAAAAAAACTTTTACAAAAAAAAAGATATTAGGAATTTTTTTAGCAATGAAGTGAGAGTCTGATGTAAAGGATGTTTCGTTCTGGATAGCATTGCACAAAAACACAACAGCTGCTGGGATTGAACAACCTCACTTAATGATTTCTACAGCATCCTGACCTGTTTTTTAACTCGCTCCTGGTTTCTTAAGAGGCCTTGAGAGTCCTTTGCAATGTCATCCTTCTTAAGATAATGTGTGTAAGGAGTTCATGAAACGCTAAAAATATTAAGAAGTGCCCTGCCTGTCGTAAGATATGTAGTGTACTTTAAAAAGTTAAAATGTCACCTTATGAAATGTAAACATTTTGGAATCCATAAAATCACACTCACAAACTAAGAATGTACCTATTGATGTTTAGGCGGGAAGATGACTAAGCAGTACAAACAAACTTTTTTCCTTCCAACAAAACTGAAGTTTGAGCAGGGGTGAAAACTACATTCCCCATCATGCCACAAGATATGGGGAAATGGCGCCTTTCAGACTGAACTACATCTCCCAGAGTGCCTCAGAAAGGTTTTGCCGGACTCTGATTGGCTCCCTGCAGTGAACGGTGGTTGTTCCACAATAGAATTCAAACCCCAGGAAAGTGGAAGCAAGAAAAAGCGATGGCAGAAGGCGGTTCAAGGCTACCCCTGTTGAAGCAATGCCTGATCAGGCGGACGGGCCAACAGGAACAGCTTGGAGTGGCCGCCTCCAGCCTCCAGGAATTGAAGAGGAAAGGTAAGACTTTCTGCTTTGGGGGTCCTAGCAGGCACATTTGGCCCTGCGGGCAGTGTGGCCTACTGTACTACTGCTCTACACCGAAGGGATACAGATGTTCTGTTTCCTGGGCATTAAAGTATTCGCTGCTGGAGAGAAAGAGAAGGACCAGGGGAGACAGGATAGCAGCCTTCCAATATTTAAAGGGAGAGGGAGAGAAAGGAAAGGAAAAAGAAAGAGAAAGAAAGGAAAGGAAGGAGAGAAAGAAAACAAAAGGGAGAGAAAGAGGGAGAAAGGAAAGGAAGGAAAGAGAGAGAGAGAAAGAAAGAGGGAGAGAAAGAGAGGGAGGGAGCGCAAGAGGGAGTGACCGGAGGCTAAAACATAAGATGAACGGTTACAGGAACTGGGCATGCTAGTCTAGGGAAGGGAAGGACCAGAGGAGACAGGATAGCAGCCTTCCAATATTTGAGGGGCTGCCCCAGAGAGGAGGAAGGGCTCAAGCTATTTTCCAAAGCACCTGAAGGCCAGAAACAATGGATGGAAACAGAACAAGGAGAGATTCAACCCAGAAATAAGGAGGAATTTTCTGACAGTGAGGACAATCAACCCATGGAAGAGAAGTTGCCTTTGGAAGTTGTGGGAGCTTCATCCCTGGAAGCTTTCAAGAAGAGACTGGACTACCCTCTGTCAGAAATGGTGCAGGGTCTGCTTGGGCTGGGGGTTGGACTAAATGACCTCCAGGGTCCCTCCCAACTCTGTTAATCTGTAATCTGAAAGGCTAAATCTGAACCCGTGGTGTTTTTTTTTAAGGGCTGGTACAAAGGGTAGGAAATAAAAATTTAACCCGAGAAACCTTCTCGACCGATGCAGAGAAATTATTCCGCCTTGTCCTCTTTTTTCCACAGCCTGCCATCTGCTAGCAATTGACTTGGCCTCACAGCCTGTCACTTTGGTACTGGCTGAAGACGGCACCATAATAGAGGACAACGATTACTTTTTGTGCCTGCCCCAAAACACCAAATTTGAGGTGGTAGCCAAGAATGAGAAATGGACCAGCACAGGTATGGAATTAATGCTTTAGAAGTTCAGAGCCAAAGAACTGCAAACAAAGTTTAGATAACTTTGATCGACATTCAGAGGATGAATTCAAGGATCAGTTGGTCCTCTGAATGTCTTATTATTACACTTGGGGAAGTTTGTAGATGTTTGTTTGGGGATGGGGAGAGAAATTTTAAAAGGCATAAGCAATCATGAAAGCCTATATTCCTTTTAATAAACCCTGTTAGCGTGAAATGGTGCCAATAGACTCTTTCTGACATTGGGTGATGCCCAGTGTGTGAAATTACACACATCTCTTAATTTTTAATGTCTAGTGGATTCACAATTCTATCCCTTTCAGGTGAGGGCACAACTTGGCTAGAGGAAGAGATCACAAACAAAACTGAAGTGGACACCAGTGGAGAAAAATGGAAAGTTTTGGCCAGGCAGCTGAAGAATGATCTGTCTACCATCGTACTGATGTCTGAAGAAGACCTCCAGGTATATAAAGGTCAAGTCTACAATATCTCTTGTTCCAGCCTCTTACTCTTGTCACCTTTGTTTTATACAGAATGGATTAAAAAATGATGATTTAATTTTTATTTTTATAAAAACTATTTTAATGGAATGCTTTTGGAGTAAAAAAAAATCTATCTAAAGATGGTTTTCTATTTAAGATACATTAATAATTTAGTTTATTCAGCATGAAATGGAGCTTAAGTTTATGTAGCACGAGGCTGTATATTCTGCAATATTTACATTTTTGGTAAATTCATTCAATGAATCTCAAGCTCTGCAAACTGAGATAACGTGCACTGCATTGATGCATTCAGACAATTTCACAGTATCCATGAGATAAATCATAAAACAAAGCTCAGGAACATTCTTTTATCCCATTGTTTTGCAAATCTATGTACATTACAAACTGTATGATGGTTTGAAGAGAAATGCACCTGTACCACCAGGTTCTAAGAGTGAGGAGGAAGGGCAAGCAGTAAAAATGGAAGTGAAACCTTCTAAGCTGCTTATAAATATAATATTAAAGAGCACCTGTCATTTCAGACCCGTCCTGGCAGCGCCTGTTAGCGGGCATCCACTCACCTGCTGTTTGCCACGTCCCTCACCTTGTTATATCACTGTCGCTTCACCAGCCAGCCATCCCATTGAAGTTGAATGGGACTGTTGGTGAGTCAACAGTGAGTCAGAGGAGGAGCCGCTGCAGGATAGAGATGACAGTTGCTCTTTTAAAATTATGATTTCAATCGAGTTGATTTAAATCAAGCCTTTTTACTAGTTTACTACTTTAAATCATATCATGATTTAAATTGAGTTGATTTAAATCAAATCCAGCCTGGTTTTATATACTGATTGAAATAAATCTATATATATATATAGAAGCGAAAGACCCCTCACCCATCATCACAAAATCTCCAGAACTGTAAAGCCTACAAACTTGGAAATTCGGCACGTATGTTCCTCCTCTTGGCTTCTAGGTGCTCACTAAGAAAGGATTTTTCAAAATGACCATCAGAGTGTTAGTATTTCCTATATTATTATTATTATTAACATGCTCTGATGCTAAGGAGTTCTACTCCCCCTCCCCACCTGAAAAGAAACTTGTTCCAAGTGCAAAACACAAGCAGAGGAGACGAGTTTCAGTTTCACAGCAGCAACCAGCTTTAGTACAGAAGAGTTGAGCTAATGCCCACGCCCAGGCTCCTTGCTGTCTCCCTATTGCTCACAGCAAATACTGTTTCAGTTTCCAAACAGCCCTCAACTCTCTCGCACACTGACAGGAGGCTAACTAGATGAATACCAATGGATGCTGGTAGGGAGACCCAGAATTTTTTCCCTTATTTTCCTCCCCAAAAACTAAGCCCGACCACATAGTTTTGTAGCGAAGCACAGGTATCGAGCTAGTAGATTTATTTATATGGCCACCCAATTTCTGGAATCTTCCACCAGAGAAGCTGGCATTCCTTCTAATGGCCACACTTAATGATGGCTTCGAACTAAATGGGGGAGCCCTGAGCATCTCTCACCTTGGCTACCAAGTGCTGGGTCCTCTTCTTCTTCCAGGAACTCGTTGATGTACCGTGTTCAGATCTGGCTGGAGAACTTGCAGAGAATCCGCTCCAAACCCAGAGGTTACAAGCCAGCCTTCAGGAAACCCTGGATAGGCGGGAAGAGGAGCGACGGTCCCGTCAACTTCTGAAACTGTACCTGCAGGCCATAAAAAAGGAGGATCAGGCTACACCCACAGCACAAGGTAATAAAGATCATTTGGAGAAATACTGCCTAGTAAGGAAGGTGTCAGCGTCCAGTGAAACTCCCCATTCTCATTCAGCGTTCATCCAAGTAAGAAATTTATGAGAGAAGTCATATTGGCACATCTGGGCAAAACCGAATCTGAGAGTTCTGGGTTTTCCCTTCCCAAAGGAGAAATCAAAGACCCACCAGTCCATCACATGGCCCAATCAAACCGTCGTCCCAACTGGAGACATTCCCGCCCCCCCAGTCACTCCCCTCCAGGTGCAGGGCAACATGTCCTTGACTCTCTGAGAAAGGAATGTTGTTGAGTCTAATCTTCCTCCTCTCTATGAAATCCCCACCACCACCAAATTCCCAGGCACTAAAATGTGGCAGCCTCGAAGCTTCTCAGTAAAATATGGCTTCCAAGGCTGACTGAAGAAAGGAAGGAGCATGTTAACACTAATATACCTCTCAGGTCTATACCTCAGCTGTACAAGTAGTCCCTGACTTACAACAGTTCATTTAGTGACCGTTCTAAATTACAATGAAAAAAAGTGATTTACGGCCGTTTTTTCATGATGGTTGCAGCATCCCCATGGACATGTGATCCAAATTCAGGCACGTGGCAACTGACTCGTGTTTATGACAGTCTCGGGGTTCGTGTGATCCCCCTTTTGCAACCTTCTGACGAGTCAATGGGGAAGGAAGGCCAGATTCACTTAACAACCATGTTACTAACTCAAGAACCGCAACGATGCACTTAAGAGCTGTGGCAAGGGCGTGAAATAAGAGTAAAACTCACTTAACAAGTGTCTCGCTTAACAACGGGAACGTTGGGCTCAATTATGGTCGTAAGTCGAGACCAATATACCCTTCCCCTTCAAATAGCAACCACAGAATTTTTGTGGTTTTTGGGTTTGTTTTTTTTTACTTGGTGCCAGCACAATGCTAGATGCGGTATGAGTTCCTTGACATTCATTTATGGAGCTTTTTCGAGCAAGCCATGATGAAAGCACGGTTGATAAAACTGGTTTTCTCTGCGAGCCAAATTCAATGGAATGGAACAAGCCATTCTGTGCAGGTTTGAGCATGTTTCAAATTAGTGTTACACTCGAACAGGCCCAGTATTTGTACCTTACAAACATTATGGCCTTGAGAAACCCTCTAAACGGATTAATAATTGCTGGTTTGCCAGCTATAGCCAGACAGGGAACATTTCTAATTCTGAGCCAAAGTGCTATGTATCCCATTGATTGTAAGCTGCTACGCAGTGGACATAGTGCATGCATGTTTTCTTTTATTTCTTTATCTGATTTGGTTGTTTACTGAGGCTTATATATAAAATAATAGGGACGCGGTGGCTCAGTGGCTAAGACGCTGAGCTTGTCGATCAGAAAGGTCGGCCGTTCGGTGGTTCGAATCCCTAGCACCATGTAAGGGAGTGAGCTCATGTTACTTGTTCCAGCTTCTGCCAACCTAGCAGTTCGAAAGCGCATTAAAAAAAATGCAAGTAGAAAAACAAGGACCCCTTTGGTGGGAAAGTAACAGCGCTTCGTGCGCCTTTGCCCCACTAGAGGCGGAAACAACTTGCACGTATGTGCGAGGGGAACCTTTACCTTTATATATAAAAGTGTTTTTTGAAAAAAAAAAAAAACACTACTGGTGGCAATAGTGACAGAAAGGTTTGCAAGGGACTCTTGTGTTAACCCTGAAGCTCACCTGACCGAAACCGTTTTGTCCACTTCAGTGTTGCCACACTGGAACTGAGGGTTGGGGGGGGGATTTGAGATAGAGGGATTTTTCTAGCCAAAACAAAATACTTTCTTTTGAAAACCAAGGACATTTTCACACTTGGTCGGAAGAAAGCGGAGGGATGCCACCCGGTTGTCAGGACTGTGCAGTGATTGGACCGTGCGACTGATGGTTTTGAGGAAGTAGAAAATCTTTTATTTTTAATAAGTAAATAAATCAGAGTTGGTTTTCACCAGATATGTGCTCATATGATATTTCCAATGAAAGTGATCTTTGAGGAGTTCAAATGCCTTGGAGTCTTGCTTGCAATGGATTTATTACTTTGGAACCCTGACACCTTGCTTCAAATGTCTCCTTTTAAGAGGCACGGACTCTTCTCTTTGTGTCTAGCATCAGAAGCAGAGAAGAAATCCGGAGGAGGCACCGATACTGTGGACCTGGGGAGCAGTGGCCCAAGCTCAGTCGAAAGGACTCGGCTGAGCGCCTGCGTTGTTGCTGTGCTGAAAGAAAAGCCTGCCCCAGAACTCAGTCTGGCCAGCCAAGATTTAGAGGTGGGTGAATGAAGACTGATTATTTTTTCTCCCCTACCAGCATTTGAGTTAGAAAAAGAGCATTTCTAAATCTCTTTGTTTTCTGTCGCAGCTGATTTGCAAAGAGGATTCGGAAGCTCTTTCTCGGACCCTACGCTGGGACAAACACAAGACCGAATCCTTAAAGGAGGCATGTGGGCAGGAGCTATCAAGGCGACTGCAACAATTTCACTCTCTAAATTCATTGAGGAACATCTCCAAAGGAAAGAAAAAACTACCAGAGCCTGAAGGACGGTTGAGGTCAAAACGCCGGAAATAAAAAGCCCTGGAAGCCGGAATTTGAGATGGATTAATCACCTTTTTGGTTTTCCTGAATGGTAACGCATCTCTTTTCCAACCGACCAACGAAATATAAAAAGCAAAAGGCATTTGACGGCTCTGTCGTATCTCACTTCAGCAAAATATTTATTTACAGGAGGTGCTAGTCCAAAGCAAAATTATTTTCCTTTTGAACCTTTGAAGATTTATGGTGTATATTGAAATACAGTAGTGGTGTTTTGAATAAGGCCGTTTCTTCAAGGTAGGATTTTGAAGCTGCCAAGATGCACAAGTTTACCCAAAGGACTTCTCCTGCTTTTAAATTATTGTTAATTTTGTAGGGATTTTATATATATATGGAAAAGTATCTGGAGCGTGTGGCTTTGAATATGAAGAGCTGATAATGGATACAGAACCATGGGACAGACTCTATGTCAATGATTATATTTTTTAAAAAAATACATTTATATTTAAGAAGTAAAGGCTTTGTATTATTGGCTAGCATTTTGACTGCTGATTGAGCAATTAAATATCACTATTACATAGGCTTGCTTTGGGACACGTATTCAAGTAGGACAGCCTTTTGCAGGAATTTGTAAAAGTAGCAAGAATTTTTAAAATAAAACTGAAACACACACACACACACTCATACAATACAATGATCCAAGGTTAAGGCCAAACATACTTGTCCCTACCTGAACCAGGGTTTGTCCGCTGAAGCACTAAATAAGGAATACATCTAAAACCACATGAGATATTTCACTGTCAATTGAAGGCAGCACACAAAGGTTAGGTACATGTAGTAATATTTTATTTCAGCGTGGAACAATTGGATGGGGAAACAACTCGGCACTGGCAAAAAAAAAACAGGAAAGACGAGCTGGCACACAGCATTTTTAGCTTGCTCATAAGCCTCTTTGTGGAACTCTTAAAGGTGTCTTAAAATGTGTTTTGTTTCTCTTCTATTCAGAGGATGGCCATGCTGTACATATCGAGGGCACAGAAAACCTTCAATCATGACAGTGGACATAATGGGGTTTTTTTTCCCCCGCCCCTACAGTTTTCTTGCAACAGCATTTCAGATGCTGTAATGTTGACTCGGCATACATGCCCAAATGTGGCTTCTGCTTTTGTTCCTTTGCCAACCCATTTGCCAAAGTGGCACGCAACAATTCTGTCCATGCAAGTAGGGGAACTGCTTTTAGCGACACTTACCCAAAAATGCAGTCAGGAAGGGTTTGAAAGTGGCGCTGTCTCAATGCTTGCAAGCCTTTTTGAAGCTTCGTATGTTTTAAGTTTAGAACTTGGCTCCCTGGCATTTCCAATATATTTGCTAAAAATACAGTCAAAATCGTGAATACAGTGTAGCTTTGCAAGAAGCCCCACAAAAACAGCCTCAGCATAAAATATTAAGCTTTCTTCTCTTTTCTGTATCTTTTTTTTATTAAAAAAAAATCACATTCGCAACTTTTGAGATAAAAATGTGGCTGAAATTTGATAGTCTAAGCCTGCATAAAACTCAGGAGCCTGAGATAACCAGAATAAAATTGTCTTTGAGCCACTGAAACAGAAGGAAAAAAGGAGTGGCAGCTTGCAGAGTTCTGAATTCCTTTTGTATGCATCCTTCCTTGATCTTACAGTATTTAGTTATCCTGTTGTTTCTGTTTATACAGGTTGCTGGTACAACTTTAAAGTAAAATTATGTCTTTCACAGAAGTCCTTAGAAGAAGGAATAATTTCGATTTTTCCCTTTGGAAAATGGCTTTGATAGGAATTTTACAGGCATGGGATTCATACTTTTTTTCCCCTTGTTAAATTAAGCAGAAGCCTGAAGAAGTTTACAAGCATGTTTTGCTGATGGATACTGTCAAATAGAAGAGCAAATGGGAAATGGTTTGCTTTGTATACTCTATGTACAACCAAAGTACCTTTAAAACATGAACAAAGTTGTGTTTGGCCACACAAGAGATGGGTGTGTGTGTATGCGTGGGAGTCAGGAGATCCAACAATATAAACAAAACTTTCGGTAGACACACTTCTAATACCAACAGAAGGGGAAGTGGAATTGAATTACAGAAGAGGGATTACTCCCAAAAGTCACCAATCAGATCCACCCCTTGAGTCCATCCATGCAGGAACCAATCGGTTAGCAAGAGGAGAAGGTTTTCCAGAAGAAGTTTTTACAGGGTGCCTTTTCCTGAGTTGGGGGTTGAGGAGCCCGGGGGCCAGCTCCAATTTTCTCCTGCCTTGACAGATGAGACGTATTCATGTGCAACGCCCGTTCAGTCAGCCCCGAGAGGAGAACCAATAACTCCTTCTTCTCTAGGTCTGCCGGTGCCTGAAAATACTTGCAAACGAAGCAAAAGCGAATTAAGCATTGTGGTGGGAAGAAGCGAGGAAAACCGAGGCTTTAAAAATTTAAGGCTGGGAGATTTAAGCTGCCTTGACTTGAGACTTGGCAAGTAAATCCTGCTCAGTTTTCATGCACAGACCCTTCCTTATTCCTGAAGATCCTTTCAACCGGACATGGAAAAGCTCAAATATACCCTATAAGAGCAAAGAATGTTTGAAATTGTCCTTGATGTAATGTCTGAATCTGCAAGCAAAAGCATTTGCACCAAGACAAATTCCTTGTTGTGTCCAATCACACTTGGCCAAGAAAGAATTCTATTCACTTATAATTTAATCCTAGCAAATGGCAATTAAAAATGTGGCGAAATATAAAGCATGAGGTTTCGATGCTTACTTTTCTCATGTTCTCGAGAAGGGAAACCTGCCTCTGTGATGGTTTCAAAGGGTGGTCCCATCACTAAAGGACTGCCTTGATTCACTACGCGTAGAAATGAAGTGGCACGCCAAGGAAAAAGCTTCTACCAACTCTACGTTTCTTTTGAGGTTTAGTGGTCTTGTATTTTGAGGTAGAAAATTAAGCAAGCAGAACTCCTTTTGGCTTTCCTTGAAACATAATTTCACTCTAGTCCGTTTCATTTAAAAGTGCTCTATCAAAGCAACAGCTATTAGCCGCTAAATTTATCAGGCTGCCATGCTGCAGCTCATACAAGAATTTGGAAGAAAAATAGGTTTTTAATGGTAGATTTTATGGAGCGATCTTTGAATCTGTTTCCAAGGAGAGTAGCATAAATCAAATATCCTGAGCTAAAAACTTTTAAAACAGCTTTTAAAATTATCTTTCTGACAACCTACAGCAATTATTTTGATGAAGGTGAAGATGTAGTGGGTCTTTTTAATGAGAGATATACAATGGAAATTCAAGAGAAAGCTTAAGGCCTCGGAGCTATTCAGCTTGGTTTCTGGAAGGCTATTTCCTGATTCTTTGTATTATTTTCTCCCAATTTTTGTTTTGAAACAGTATCACCTTAGCTTTAAATTATTCCCCCCCCCCAAAAAAAAAAAATTAGGGTTATTTTCATTAAAATGTTTCCAAAGCAGGAATCTTATCAAAGTGTAAACACGTTTTAGCCACATTCAGGGTACAAGAAAAAGCAAATCATTTAGCCAATAACAACCCCTCCCAAGTTAACCAGTGGACTTCAATTCAGATTAAACAGAGTTGGAAGGGACCTTGTAGGTCATCTAGTCCAACCCCCCACCCAAGTAGGAGACCCTACACCACTTTTGACAGAAGGCAGTCCAGTCTCTTCTTGAAAGCTTCCAGTGATGAAGCTCTACAATTCAAGCTTATTTTAAAATACTCCGGACGGCAATCTCCCTTGCTAGCTCTATAGCTGATTAATTTTCTGGCTATATTTTACCAGCAAAAGGACAGGATTTCTTCTGCCCTTGGCTTACCTTGCTGTGTTGCCTCATCAGCCCTTCGGGAGCAGGAAGTGCAACCATTCTGTCACCCCCCATGGGCCTGGGAAACAGGGCCAGCCCCAGGAAAAACAGGCAGAGCGGGGAGAACACTTGCAACGCCATGTAGCTCAGATGTAGTCCGAACTTCACCTGCTTGCAAGTTATATGTTGTGCTTTTTAGACTTGGGGAGGGAGATTTTCTGTTCCCAATCTGCTACGTTTTATTAAGAGGAGCCATTCGCAGCTACCCCCACCTCACCCAACCATCCTTTCTTTCTTTCTTTCTTTCCAAACTCTAGCAGTGACGCATAAGCTGGGGCGCAATTAAGTCTCCAAATTGTGCATTTTGCACGCTTTAACCCTTAATTAGAGTCTCTGGGTGTCAATCCCATTAAAGTACATTTGCCATCAATTTAAGCTGTATGTGCATTTTTATTTGCTAAAAAAAAACCACCCTCTTTATCCCACTGAACCTCATTTCCTCACCATTATTCCCACAATGACTAGGACACTTTGAATACAAAATAGTGTGATTTAGCAAAGGAATGATTCACTGCGGCAAACTGAGCAGAGGGGAGCAAGAAAGCCAACTCAAGAGAACCACAAGTCTTGAGATGGTTTTATAATGAGAAGCAAAACTAAGTTTACTATTAATAATGAAAAATTTCCAAGCAAAAATAAAAATCCCAAAAGGCAAAATGTTGGCAAAAATAGTACAGATGAAACGTATTCAAAATTAGAATGAACCTTGGGAAAAGATTCAAAATAAAGGCAAAATTTGACTACTAGTTCCCTTCAATAGAGTGGGAATAACAAAGTTATTAGGTAGAAGCAAATGAAACAGTCTATAGTGGGGAAGATATATTACAGGTTGCTAAAATATTAGAAGGCACACAGAAAATCAATACTTTGTTTCTCATAGTACTGGATTGCTATATCACCCAATAAAATTGGTTGTCAGGAAATTCTGTAAACAAACTAGCGCTATCCCATATACAATTTAGAATTGATTGATGACATTCACTGTCATACCACGCAGTGAAGGATACTTAGATGCCCAGTTATGCGAGGACAAAACAAATTCATTCAGGATGGAAATGTTTATTAACTTTGTTCCATTATTATTAATAAAATGTTTTATTAACTGCAATATAGAGCTGTCCAGTTCAAAGAGAAAATGCCATTCAGTGATGGGTAGGGATCACATATATCATTTTAAATGTATAATGTGGTTTGACCAATTTTGTGAAACCCTGATCTTCTTAAGCACGAAGAAAGCCAATTGTCTTATTCAATAGAATCCAGTTTAAGAACTGTGGCTTAGTATGATATGGAATATCAGTGCTGAAGAATGAAATAACTGAGTTTTTCAACAATATGCTCAACTAAATATTAGGATGATCAGGACAATTCAAAT